TATATATATATATATATATATATATATATATATATATATATATATATATATGTGTGTGTGTGTGTGTATAGGGCTAACCCGTCGGGGTGTATGTTTGAGTCGTTGTTTGTTTTTTAATAGGGCGAGCAGCAGAATCGATATAAGAGAGCTGATGCGGTGTTTGTTGGTTGTGTTGCTGGGTGTAGATATTATATTAATATATGGAGAAAAAATAAATAATACAATACATATATATGTTTCTTCTGCTGCTGCAGCAGCGGATAAAGCCATTAAACACCTTCTTGCTGCTGCTGCTGCTGCTGCTGCTGCTGCTGGTGGTGGTGGTGCTGCTGCTGGTGCTGCTCCTGCTGCACTGATGAATTCTGTTGTTTTATATATTCCTCCTACACCAAGAAATAATTGTTTTGATTATGATGCTGCTGCTGCTGCTGCTGCTGCTGCTGCATATCAGCAGCAGCTTTTTTTCTCTCCCCAGCTGCAGCACAACAGAGATAATAAAAACAAAGAAAATAAACAAACAGAAGATATATATAATAAAGACAAAGACAAAGACAAAGACAAAGACAAAGACAAAGAAAAATATATACAAGAGGATGATGGTGATGAATATATAGAAATATATGATGATGAAGACCAAGACAAAGACAAAGACAAAGACAAAGACAAAGAAAATAATAAAAAACAAACCACCCGTGTCTTACTGGGCAGGCTGCGTATATGTACAGCAGCAGCAGCAGCAGTAGCAGCAGCAGCTGACGCCTACACCACCAGCAGCAGCAGCAGCAGCAGCAGCAGCAGCAGCAGCAGCAGCAGCTTGAGAAGTATAAATGAAAAGATAGCACAGAAAGAAATAATAAAAGGGAGACATATAAACTACACCAAGATGTTTGTCTCTCTCCCCGTATGCATGCAGCTCATCAACCAGTTTGCATGCGGTCGATGGCGCTTCTCTTTGTCTTTGCCTTTTGGGGCTGCAGATAAAGACAAAGGAGACAGCAGCAAGCTACAGCTGCAGCAGCTGCAGCAGCAGCAGCAGCAGCATGCACACATGTCAGCTCCCTTCTCTCTCCTCTTTATACACACCATGCTTCGCCTTTGCAGCACCAGAAACTCTCCTGCTGCTGCTCGAACTGCAGCAGCAGCAGCAGCAGCAGGAGCAGCAGGAGCAGCAGCAGCAGGAGCAGCAGC